AGTTGGTTTGGGACTGGTTGACAATGTACGTAATCATTGGTGGGTCTTTTGCTTCCCTTGTATAGTTCCTCTGTGCGTTTCTGGTATTGCCTCCGATGTGAGTCCTCTAATGATTGTATCAATTTCCCGGATAGTATCGTCCCGATAGCTGGGGACTAACTCATTTGCCAAGATTCTCCTCGAGATCTATCCCTTGTTTCCCTCCTTCGAGGTGATTGATCCAGTTGTCGCCTCGACTCCCTGTTGGGAGAAGCGGACCTATGGAGGTGTCCATGATAATTATTCCTCCTAGATGATCGTGAGTTGCTTCAATTTGAGGATCGGGGCGTGTCCCTGCATTCGCTAATGTCATGGCCATAGAGTTGGTAGAATGTACAGAACTTTGCCCCTTTCAGGGGCTATTTGGCTGCTTTTTCTTCTTGCCTCGATTGTTTGTTCCTCTAGATAACCCCGCTTCGATCGAGGCATTTTCATATGCTAGTACCGACACTGCATTTAGGGTGGTTGAAGCTAATGCCCATCCGGATGTGGGGGCTACAGTGTGACTCGCCTGGGTCCATTGCTGGGTGATGAGGTGTGCTGCTGGTCCTTGACCTATCTGCCTCTGATGCGGAGAAAGTCCCAAAACTGCACGGTTCCGGTGGTCAATCATCTCATCATTGACATTTTCTACTCTCATCATCTCAACTAGTTCGTCATAAGTGCCTGGATTCTTGCTTCGCATGTCTCTCCAGAATAATGTGTTCATGTTGAGACCTCCTTTCAGGGCTGAGAGGGCCTCTCTATCCATGACTTGTTCATACTATGTGATTTTATCGGTGAATCTGGTGAGATAGCTTTCCAACGTCTCGTCAGGAGCTTGCCTCATATCTTGTAGGCGTTGCACTGGGGTTTCCCCTTCCCTTCGTGAGAGATATTAGTTCAAAAATGCTTTCTTCAGATCTGGCCAACTTCTAATGCTTAGAGGTGGTAGCCTGCTATACCACACCTCGGCAGCTCTGGTAAGGGTTAGATGGAAGGCCTTGCATTTTAGTGCTAGTGAGGCTCCTCTGAAGCTCATTTGCGTCATGTACTTTGTGAGGTGTTTCTATGGGTCCTCATTTCCCACATACTTAGGGATTTTAGGGGCATGAAGTTTGCAGGCATTGGGAAGCTTTGGATTTCTCTAGAGAATGGAAAGTTGTCATCGTCGTCATCAATTTCGTAAGAGCAACATGGCCCTTCAGAGTCTTCCCCCTCTGACGCATTTTGGGGAGGTTGAGATGCCCCTCCCTGACTGCCCAAGTCCATTAGGTTCCTTCTCTCCCACGTATTTTTAGGCAGAGGGGGGTGCTTGTTGTTCCTCTTGCTCCTGCACATGCTGGGCTAACCTCTGTATGTAGTAGACCCTATTGCTAGGATTTCGCTCTATCCGGTCAAAGACATTAACTGACCTCTGAGGATCGTATTCTAGTGGGAAGTTTACTCCCAGCTGTGGTTCTACCACGTGAGTGCCTTGGGTATAGGAAGTGACATCCACTCCCATTTTCCTCTCAATGGGGTGTTCTCTGTGGTGGCTTGAATGACCTCGGGCATGAGATGCCGGGTTTTGTCCTTGAGTTGGTACAACCCTTGTGGCATTGGAAACCCCTGGGCTCGCATGAAGAACTCGCGCATTGCTATATTCTGAGCGGCAATGTCTCTCATGCCTGCGGCTATTTGAGCCATTCCTTCAATTAGTGCTGTTGTTCTATCGCCCCGGCGACGCTGCTGATGGGGTCTCCGGTGCGTGACGTTTATCCGGAGCACCTTTTCTTCAAAGGCGCCCCTGAGTTCGAGATTTGCATCGTCATTGCTGTAACTCATTTTCTTCTCTTTTTCAAGGGTGTTAGGAAGTTTGGGAATTTAGGTCGACTTGATCCTTTTTCAAGAACGTCCCTTTTTCAGGGTAAGTCGATGGTGCTCTGATGGCTTTTTTGATCGTAAATGGGGAACTCTTGGACAAAATTATTGCCATAGACAGCGTCAATCTGTTGACATCGTGAATTGGACCTTGCACGTGGCCAACCGATAGCCACTCCACATAATCCACCCTGCACACAATAACGAATGGTCAGAAGCATAAGACTGGAACCAACGGGGATGGTGGAGGCTACATGCACTCCGACGATCAAGTCAGCGATCGATGATCGAAACAGTGCTCGAATCATGCAAGAGTGGGAAGAAGAATAAATATTTCTTGTGTATGGAGGGCTAAGTCTAGTTTCAATTTCATTATTTTTGTCTCTTGTCAAACCTTGGGTATTTATAGACGAGGAACACCGTTGGATGTTGAACACGGTTATGCATTTGATGGTGTGAGACGTTTGCTCGTAGGCGTCAATCAGCCACGTCTAAAGTGGGCGGGTTATTAATTCTCCTGAGTTAAGTTGACATAAAGTTGATGTCACATCAACTAGACTCATGGAGATGTCACATCCATAGAGGATCATGACACAGATCTTCTGAAACTGGTGACGGAGGGATCTATTAAGGGAGAACCTCGGAGTGCCCAATCGCTTCGGTTCCAGGGGACGCTTCGATTACTTCAGTAGGTTCAGTTTGTGACGTATGTGCATTGTAGTGTAAGTTGGAGTTCGGTCGAGGTCGACATTGCTTCAGAACTGCTTCGTAGGGACATGTGGCACTTCGTAGAGCAGTGAACTGACATGCCAAAGTGATTTGGTGAAGGACGTAACAAAAATATTTAATAAATACTTCCCAAAAATGCTTTTGATGTCCGAAGAGTCAATATTTATCAAAATATTTCAAAACACGCCAAACTAATAGGCTTCCGACTAATATCTTTTTACAAGAATCAATTACCAATCTTTCACCATACATGAGGTTAGGTGACAAATATATAAGTATTCTCTGGGCTATTTAAATATTATATTGATTTATGAAAAACTAAATACAAGGATTTATTTAGTAGGCCACAAATAGTTTGAAGTAGGTAATATATAGGTTGTTATCAAAATATCTTTCTAAATAGTTTGAAGTATATCGCCTTTTATGTTGATACTATTTATTGGTGTATATTTCAGACACCAATGGAGCCTAAGGGACCGTAGGGACCCAGGACCCATGTTTTCTGACTTTTTATTTAGTGCATATTTAGTTTTAATTTCTCATCTCAAAAAATCAATTTTTTGATCTTTACTTTCTTAAGTCAGTCGTCGTTTTTCGCTTCGTCTTTCACAGGTGAGAAACACTTTTCTCTCTAACAGTCCAAAAATCAATTTTCATAATCACTATCGAACAATCCCTTAATTTGAAGAAATAATAGTATTATAGGTATCAAAATTTAGTTTAATAATGTTGCTGTAGTATAATTGTTTAGAATCCCAAATTTAGTAACGTTGTTGACTTGTTGCAATATGTTGGTAAGTACACCAAAAATTTAGGGGCGCTTTGTTTGTCCATTTTTATTTTCATTTTGTAAAACATTCAGATCATATTTTGTTTTATATTTTTTAACATGCATTTTTTAAAATAAAATAAAATATATAATTCAAAATTCAAAATATACTTTTGACGTGTTGAATATGTTCAGTGAAAACACTTAAAACACGAAATATAAAAGTAATCAAATTCCTCCTTTCTTGATTTTGTAGATGTAAATTAATGGAAAACTCTAATGATAGTCTTGTCAAAGTCTCCATATGGAGAATATAATTGCAAACTGCGGTTGATGAGTGCATATCACTAATGCTTTTGACACCATTTAATCTTGATATTTAGTTTATTTCTACGAGGCTATTTCACTAATTTAATTCCATATCTTTATGCGAGTCAACTTTAGTTAAAGGATATATTGATTCTAAGAATTCATATATGAACGTAATAATCAGTATAAGTATCTCTACACGTTTTACCAATTTATCGAATTTTACTATATGGTCTAAATCTCAAACTCATCTCTTAATTCGTAAAAGATACGCAAAATTATCAAATTAGTGATCAGATAATTTAATGCATTAAACTCATAGCAAAATCAATACATTTAGAATAAAAGAACAAGAATCTTGAATAAAAAAACTAAAGAGTCCTAAGTAGATTATACTATTGGCCATATATAAGGTTTAACTACTTATGATGGATGAAAAAAACAAATAACGGTAATGGAGTACATTACCGTGTTTTGAATTTTTGATGTAGAGAAATTGATAAATCTTGTACCAAGTTCTTCTTTTCGTTCCCAATCTTGATTTCAACCTCTTGACTTATTTTTTTCTCATCTTGAATTTGCTCTAATTCTCTAGTAGTGTTCTCCTTCTCTCAATATGTGAAATCCCTTTTAGAAGTCCTCAATTCTTATATTTATACTCCCTTTATGTCCTCCCCAAATGTGTAGTCTTCATAGATTTTTTACGAACCAAAACGAAGTAACTCTATAAAAACGTGATGAAAAACAGTGTAGTGCCTGGGCGTTATGAGTGCAGCGCCCAAGCGCTGCCTTTATATTCAAAAACTATTGCTTTCTTCAAATTGTAACTCTTGGACGCTAACTTTCTGTTCCAATTTATTTGAAATTGGTTTCTTTGTCCACTTTAGTATCCCTTTTTACACTGTCTAATATTCAAAAGCAACACTAACAAATACATAAAAAATGTTCTATACTCATAAGATCTAACAACTAATGAAATTAAAATTATGTAAAACTCGTGAGTAAAAACATGCTCGCCAGTTAACAAATGATTGGGTAAACATAAAAGTTAGTTATAATTTCTTTATAATGTAAAATGTAGTGGGCTCAGGAATTGTATGGATAATAAGTAATATTGTTCAAATTAAAGTTTGATTTTAACTGAAAATTACATGTTACTGATGAGTTTAGCCAAACATGCATTTACTTTATCAAGACCATCCCTTTTACCTTTTTCCAGTAAAAAAAAAGTGTTAATACAAAAATTCCCATAAAAGTAATATTTTAACAAGCACGTGGGTGTCGAGCGTTTGACGTAGGTAGTTGGGGGTTCTCTCTCTCTCTCTCTCTCTCTCTCATCGTCGCCTAAAACTTAACGACTTCAAACAGCAACCCGCCTCGCTTCCTCCGTCCTCAAACTCTATACATTTTGGATTCATTTACACTTCCCTGACCCAAAATCCACCGCCGTTCCATACAATTCCAGCCACTTGCTCACGGAGAAGCTCCGACTTTGCAATAATGTCTCAATCCTTCAATCTCTACATTTCCACCTCATACTCTCCCAAACACCTCAACCAATCCTTATCCAAAAAGTTAGGTTTTAACTGGAACCGAATTGAACCACACAAAACCACTCAAAAAGCCGCTTTCACTATCAAAGCTTCGGTTTCGGATTCTATTCCGTCTGTTCTAACCTCGGATAATGGTGCAGGCGGGGTGCTATCCTCTAGGCCGCAGAATTATGCTTCTTATGCTGCGCCGGCAGTGGCTGATCCGAGCACAATTGAGGTTGATGCGGTGACAGAGGCGGAATTGAAGGAGAATGGGTTTCGGAGCACGAGGAGGACAAAATTGATCTGCACTATCGGTCCGGTAACGTGCGGAGCGGAGCATCTGGAGGCACTGGCAGTGGGCGGAATGAATGTGGCGAGGATTAATATGTGCCATGGCACGCGTGAGTGGCACCGGGAATTAATTCAGCGTGTCAGGAGACTGAATGAGGAAAAGGGTTATGCAGTGGCCATCATGATGGACACTGAGGGGAGCGAGATTCACATGGGGGATCTTGGAGGTGCCTCCTCCGCCAAGGCTGAGGTACATTACAAATTCAATGGAGTGTTTATTTTGTACTTTTAATAAAATAAATTTGGTAATTTTGATCGCGTAGTGTGATAGTAAGTAATTTTGATCTTTTTACTGACTCCACGAAGCTGAGGCATGTTTATAAGTAGTTTTGTATTTTCTTGGCCAAATTATTTAGTTTTTGTGCTATTTAGCCTACTAGGGTTATAATATCAATCTAGATGATGCTAATGTGGCATTAAATGATAACTACAATTAAATGAGTCATTTAATTCCACATTTCATTTAGCTTATTACCTAACATCAGCTCGACTGGTATTATAATCTCAGTGGGGCTAAGTAGCATTACTCCTAATTATATGTTTCTAAATCTATGCTTTGAAAGTCTAGTCAAAGAAATTGTGAGGCTACAAATAAAAGAGGTTTTTGGTTGGAATTTGTTAAACCTCGCAAGGAAGCCCATGGATTCAACCAACCATCAACGAAACATAAAATAGCACACAAGGAGAGCAAAGAGATGAAAGGCTCACATAAGGATCTCAAATCGTTCGTAATTACAGGCTGTTAATGAGGAGCACATGGGCAAATAAATGAAGTGTGACTCTTAACTAAATTAGTTAAGAACCAACCAATAAGAAGTCACCATCTGTATTACGTAGAAATGACCAAACTACCTTACCACTTGGAGAAAAATCTATAAATAATCCCCTATTTGAAAGAAGAAAACATGTCATCAAATATCTCCTTCTGAATAATTATTTCCCCTCTTGTTCTAGTTGAAGCTCATGGATCGAAGTTGAGATAAAATTTCATTTTTTTTAACTCAAATGAACGACTTAATTGATCTCACAATATATAACTCATACAATGGAGCAATTCTCTTTCAGAACTCTCTTATACAAACATAGAATTTTCTTTACTACCCGATAATTCAAAATACATATCAATACATATATTTATAGAGAAACTAAGAAGAGTTCAGAATGATCAAGTAACTTTGTTCCACATCCTTTAATGGACGAAAGAATTCAAAATGATTAACTTTGTTCCACCTCCTTTATTGAAAAAGAGCTCAAAATGATCAAGTAACTCCAATAGTAGCTCTTGGCCAATAACGAGCTTTTTCTTAACCATATAAAGTTCTTCTATCCAATAAAAACTTTTGCTTAACCAAGTTACATTTTAACCAAGTCACATTTTAACCAAGTCATGTGTTTAGCATCTTGATGATTCTGGTGCTTCTTTTTATTTCTAGAATTTCCTTGGTCAAGTTGACACTACTTTCAACATCTCCCTTAAACTTGACCATCCCAAGCAAAAATTTCTATCTAGTAAACACACCATGCTTAAGTAGCTTGGTAAAAATCTTTGCTGCTTAAAAATTTGTCTTGCATGGTAATAGCAATACTTTTTTCATCTTTATGTGCTCTCAGATGAAATAAAAATGTGTCTATCTATATGTTTGCTTTGTTCATGATGGATTGGATTCTTTGTAAATACTATTGCTGACCAATTATCAATATAAATCTCAGAGGGATTTTCTTAAGAAAGTCCTAAATTTGTCAATGTATTTTGCAACCAGATAGCATGACACATTTGAATTTGCAGCAACATACTCATCTTCATAATTGGATAAGGTGACAATAGGTTGCTTCTTGGATGAACATGTAAATGATTTTTCCTCAACGAAAAATACGAACATATTTGTACATTTCCTTTCATCGATGTCTCTTCCCCAATCACTATTTGAATGATAAGTTTAAAATCATCAGTGGATGCATAAAGTAACCCCTCATTGATTGTACCTTTCAGATAGCGGAGTATCCTTTTTCGCTACATTAAAATGGGACTGATCTCGTATCTCCATTTAATTGCTGATCAATCTTACGCCATCTAGTATATCCAGTCTGGTGTATGTTAGATATTTAGGGCTTCCAAACACCCTTTTGAAATATGTGGGATTGACATCACCACCTTCATCTTTGCATAGTTTCAATCCGCTTTCAATTGGAGCAATAACCGGATTACGCTTCTTCATTCTAAATTTCTTTGAAACATTTGCTACTTAGGCACTTTGAGAATTAAAAATTGCATCTTGTTGCTTAACATTTATCTTGAGAAAGTGTGTCATCAATCCAATATCAGTCATCTCAAATTTTTTTTTTTACCATACTCTATTTAAAAGCTTCAAACATGGATGGATTATTGCTGGGGAGCTTGCTTAGTCCATAAAGTTGAAAGAAATGGAGCTATTACTATCAAGACAAATGATCAAGCAGCAAATATTTTTACCAAACCAGTTTAGCATGATGTGTTTACTATACAGACATTTATAGTTTGGATGATCAAGTTTAGGGAATGTTGAAAATAATGTAAACTTGATCAAGAAAATCCTAGAAATAAAAGAAGCTCTAGAATTATAAAGATGTTGAACATATGACTTGATCAAAATGCAACTTGGTTAACCAAAAGTTTTTATTAGATAGAAGAATTTTACACAGTTAAGGAAAAGCTCATTATTGGCCAAGAGCTATTAAAGGAGTTACTTGATCATTTTGGGCTCTCCTTCTATTAAAGGAAGTGGAACAAAATTACTTAATCATTTTGAATTCTTCTTCAATTAAAGGAGGTGAAACAAATTTACTTGATCATTTTGAACTCTTATTAGATAAGCATGGCTCGCACAATGATCTCAAATCGTTCTCCAACTACAAGCTGTCAATAAGGAGCAAATGGGCAAATAAATAAAGCGTAACTCTTAATTAAATCAGTTAAGAAGCAGTCAATAAGAAGTCACCACCTTTCATTAGACAGAAATGACCAAACTACCCCAACGTTTGGAGGAAAATCTATAAATACCCCAATTTGAAGAAGGCATGCAATACAAACATCTTTCAGATAGCTATTTTACCTTTTGCTCTAGTTGAAGCGTCTAGATTACTGAATGTAAGAGGTGAAACTCATAGTTAGGTGAGAGGATTTGTTGATTGTATTTACATTTGATCTTCACAATTGTAAATATTTTACAATAAAATCGGTTGATCCAATTTTTACCGTCACGAGTATTTAGTGAGGGGACATTATTTGTAATGATGAAAAGGAAGTAAAGTAATATGGCATACCTCGACAGTTGAGGCATCTGATACTCATACGAGCTTTAATGCAAGAATACAATATTTTTTATGTGGGAGCTTGGGGTAGATGAGTAAGCTCCGTAAGAATCAAGAATATCAAACATATTTTTAGACAGAGAAAATAGTAAGAAGATGGTAGTGCTTTATATCTCTGATTAGAATTTTGTTTTGAATTTTTTTCCCCATCAGTTAAATTTTTTTGGTTTAGTCACTTTAAGATAATAACATTAACTAAGTAATGAATTTTGAAGAAAACAAAAATTACTTGCAACTTTTGAGTTCAAAAGCTGAATATACATAGAACATAGCTTCAAAAGCTCTCGAGTTTGATAAGAAAAGTCAAACATGCAATTTTAAGGTGATAATAACATCAATTAGATTTTCAGTTTAGTTACTTTAAGGTATAACATCAACTAAATAATGAATTTGAAAGAAAATAAAAATTATTTGCAACTTTCGTGGTTCAAAAGTTGAATGCATATAGAACATAGCATCGGAAGCTCTTGAGTTTGATAAGAAGAGTTAAACATGCAATTTGAAGTGCAATAAAGAGAATGAAGTTAATGCCAATTATTCAGCATGAATCATATCAATTATGGTCTTGTCAGATAGTAATAAATTTTAGCCTTCTTGTTTGAGCCCCATTATTTGATAAAAATATATTTTGAAATAGTAGATTTTTGAAAAATGTATAGTTGAAAAGTAGGAAAAAGTTTTAAGTTTGCGTGTAATATTATTTTATTAAGAAAATATGTAGTTGAACATGAGTTTGGAGAAAAATATATTATTGGAAAATGGGGTTCAAGCAAGGGTCTAGTGTATTATCTGATTGGATTTTTAATTTTATTTAGTATATATTACCTTTTGTACTTATTCAATTTATGTCTCTCTTATTCTTCCCCTTCATTTGAATTCATGTGAACTCCCTTGTGTCATATTCACAAAGTTCTGTGAATTTTTTATAAGTTCCGAGGTAAATTGAACGTCTCTAAGCCGCACTTTCCTTCAAAATGTCGGTGTTCGAAAGTGTTCCTTTAGTTTTGCTACAATTACTAATATATTTTCTTGAGACTTACCAAAAAACTCCGTTTTCTTCAGAAAACATGATGTGTGGATTTCATATTAGAAAAGCAAGAATGAAAATCTTTTGCATTGCAACATATAAGTTCATATATGCAATTTTCTGCTGAATCTGAAGTTCAATTTAATCAATTAGTTTCCTTGTGCAGGATGGGGAAGTATGGACTTTCAGTGTTCGAGCATTTGATTCCCCTCTCCCGAAACACACTATTAACGTGAACTATGAGGGATTTGCTGAAGGTTTGAAGCATATATTTTAAATACGCGCATATATGTTTGTTACCATTCTCGAGGACATCATTGTTTCCTGCTTGTTTATCATGCATAAAATTAGTACATGTGATCTTAACTAAGTTTTGGTTGAACTCCCGCATGACAGATGTGGAAGTGGGTGATGAACTTTTAGTAGATGGTGGAATGGTGAGGTTTCAAGTGATTGAGAAAATAGGTCCAGATGTCAAGTGTTGTTGCACAGATCCCGGACTTCTGTTACCTCGAGCTAACCTTACCTTTTGGCGTGATGGGAGCTTAGTACGGGAGCGTAATGCAATGCTTCCAACAATATCTTCGAAGGTTGTTACTTCTTCTCCATCAGTGCATTCTTTGACAAATGATGTCCCTTAGCTCAATTTTGATTTTATATGCTGCAATTTTTCTGCATAAGAAGATTTGTTCATAGAAAATTTTGATCCTTCACTACATTTTCTGTATCATTCTGTAGCAAATGGATGAAACCAGTGTAAGAGAGACCTCAGAGGCTGAGACTGTATAGACGAGATGTTTTCCTTTAGGTGCCAGTATATCCAAAAGTCCAATTAATTCTAATATGCTGACATGAACAGATGCTTGATGTTCTCTAATGTTGAGTTTGTTGTGTGCACAGTTTATTATGAGGTAAATTATGCTAAGCAAAACTATACTGATGATTCATTTATGTTCAATCATACTTGTGTAACATCGCAGTGTTGTCCCACATCGACCAACCTTATGAGTTGAGGGATGGGTTTGTCAATTATTTTGGTTAATCATTCTGCTTGGAGTAGAATAAAGGGAGTAAAAAGTCAAATCTTGTACCTACTAGTGGTATCAGCCCCACTGGCCTTGGACTTCTATTTTCGTTGTATTACGTTCACCTTGTAGTTTACAACCTTTTGGTTAGAGTATAATCACTAGTAGAGATCATTTATTACTCACTCGATGCCATATGCAGAAGTTTTATCAAAGAGTTCACATAACATATGTATGTTTTCCATTTTTTGACACACATTTATTTATGCAACTGAAATGCTCTCTATAGGAGGAGTTTTGGCGAAAGAGTTCACATGAGAAACTTGTATTTTCCTTTTTTTTTTTCTTGCTTACTCTTGCAGTCTCTCTTTATTTACATTACCTCTTAAAATGACCAACAAAGGACAAGTGTCACTTGTCTTAGACTCTCAGCTTGTAATGATAAATCTCCTGAAGTTGTATCTCCGTAATATCTGATTAAAGCCTATAGACTTTCTAAAAGTTATGCACACACCCTTCTATTTTTGGTCCTGAGGCAAGTTGGTTCAGCCAATGTTGATAAGATGAACAGGACTGTACATGTGTCTTCTTATATGATTGACTGTGATATCCAACAGTGAGAATCCTAGGTAGAAAGTTAATGGGAAACTTGCTAGGAACTGAGCTAAGATCCTTATAAAGTTATATTGGTACATTTTAGGCATGTTAATTAATTAATGACTTGTTTCGTATCACATGATTAAATGACCATTTACAAGTCTTTTGATGTAATGGAGTTCTCCGTAATTTCTTACGTGGCTTTTGACAATTTTGTAAGCATTTTGTCTCAAACTAAGTTACCAGGACAGAAGGAACTTATTTGGATTACACATTATGGATGTTTTCATCACCATGCTATTTGTTCACCTTAGGATGGTCAAGACATGATTGTAAAGAGTGAGGACATTGTGCAACAAACGATGCTAAGTATGGCTATCTGATGTATTCATAATTGGGCTAGTATGACAAAATCCGCAAAAGCAAGAGAACCCTAAGGTTTGAATCATTTATCATAATGTTTGTCTAGAGGGCTTTGAGATTTGCAGAACATTAATTAGACCTAAATTGACTGGCTCGAAAAAAGTTGAGGCCCTCGACCTGTTTCATCCTCCCATTCCCCAGTTTAAAGGTTACATAGTTTTGTATTATGAACAGCACGCTAGAACTAGAAGGGAGATAACTCATGTAACATTTAACTATTTTGCAAGTTCTCTTAAAACTCTGTAGTTGATTCCGTAAATTAATGAACAAACTTTTATGAGACCTTTTCATTCATTATAATTTGTTAATATTACCTCTTGATATTTCCATGCTTAAGTTAATACCGCCTGCACTCCAATTTCTTGGAGTGAATGTGTGGTGCAGGCAGTTTCACAAATTATCACCAGAAAAATATGTAATACTTCTTAGTGTAAAAGTTGTAGATGGATCATTTTCTCATCGGAGTAGTTTATTAGTTATTGGAGAGCGGGTATCTCTTGTGGCGAATGTGTAGGTGCAATTTAAGGGTTGGCTACTTGAAGCTACTAATTCCTTGCATATTTGGATAGTTCTACAAGTAGGACTTACTAAGAGCGAGTTTAGGAAGAAGCTGCGCTTGTTTTTTATGGGACTCTATTAGCTCATCATCCAGCATCTACTCATTTTAATGCGGCAAAAGTGTTTTTGAAATGTTTTCACAGGATTATCAGTGGGGTACTACTTATCGCCTTCTGATTACCATGCTTTGGTGCTGTAGTATATGGGCACCCCAGTTTTTCTAATTCCACCTGCATGATCCTCTCAATTGATTTTTAGGATTTTAGTATAGTTGCTACAATTTGGACAAATAGCCCGATGAGTTGATCCGTGTTATTTGTCTAGAAAAAGTCACATGCAGCTTAATTTTTGTTGCTATTGCAGAAAGACCTGAAAGCCTTACCTTGAAATGTCTGGACTTGGCTAGTGAATTTGTTGAACATCCCAGTGTTCGATTTTGTTCTGGTGCATGTTGTTTCTTTATTCATATCACTCAATGAACATGTTTGTGTGTTTATGTCGTACTCTCTCGACCAGAAATCATGTACATATGAAGTTATATAATTAGTCTCATCTCAAGCATTTTTCTTTAGGATTGGTTGGACATTGATTTTGGGATTGCAGAGGGTGTTGATTTTATTGCTATATCATTTGTCAAGTCTGCTGAAGTTATAAAGCACCTTAAGAGCTACATTAAGGCACGAGCTCGTGATGGGTAAGTTACATGGAACTTTTTTTACAATAGTATTGTTTATTGTGAAGGTGAAGTCAAGTACCTCGGTCCAAACTGTTGGCATTGCCCCTGAATCTGCTTGTTCCCCTTTTGGTGCTTTATATTATAGTATATTTCATTACACTTTGGATAGGGTTTGTTCTTAGATGTCACTTATTGCATTATACATTGCTCATCCCTTGTCACGAGCAACATAATATAACCTTTCTTCTTATGAAAGTGCCATCAAGATGGAACTGTGCCGTTATCCCCCCAAATGACGTTCATCAGAATCAGAAATAGTTGAAAACTTGAGTTGCATTCATTTTCACTGGGAACTTCATCCACGTGCTTCCGAATTTAAAAGTTTGCAAACTTTTCTTTGATCTATGTTAGAAAATTATATTTAAATGTGGCTAAAAATAAGGTGTGATGCAGTGACATATCTGTGATTGCAAAAATAGAAAGTATTGATTCATTGAAGAACTTGGAGGAGATCATTCGAGCATCTGATGGTGCTATGGTGGCAAGAGGAGATCTGGGTGCTCAGATCCCATTGGAACAGGTTCCATCAGAACAACAGAGAATAGTCCAAATCTGCAGGCAATTAAATAAGCCTGTAATTGTTGCCAGTCAGTTCCTTGAATCTATGATTGAATACCCTACACCTACTAGAGCTGAAGTTGCCGATGTTTCTGAAGCAGTGCGCCAGCAGTCTGACGCTTTAATGCTTTCTGGTGAGTCTGCCATGGGCCAGTACCCTGATAAGGCATTGACTGTTTTAAGAAGTGTTAGTCTGAGAATCGAGAAATGGTGGAGAGAGGAGAAACGTAATGAAGCTACGGAACTCCCAGGCATAGCATTGTCTTTTTCAGACAGCATTTCAGAAGAGATTTGCAACTCTGCTGCTAAGCTGGGTAATAAGAATTTGTCTTCAGATTTCTTATGATTAGTAAATCAAAGTAAATATTTTTCTCTATTTTCTGCCAAAAACTTTTATCCCTTGCGGGTCCTGA